CTGGGCACACTGCTGGTTCATGTTCATCTGGCTGTAAACCATCACCCCCACATCCTTTTCTGCTGGGCAGCTTTCCAGGGACTCTGCCCCAAGCCTGTAGCACTGCATGGGGCTGTTGTGACTGAAGTGCCAGGACCTTGTTGATCCTCATACAATTGGCCTAGTCCTGTCGATCCAGCCTGTCCAGATCCCTTGTTGGGCCTTCCTGCCCTCCAGCATATTGACACTCCCATCTAACTTGGTGTAGTCTGCAAACTGATTGAGGGTGTCCTCAACCCCTAATCCAGATCATTGGCAAAGATATTAAACAGGACTGGCCCCACCACTGAACCCTGGCAACCTCACTAGTGACCAGCCACCAGCTGAATTTAACTCCATTCACCACCACTCTCTGGGCCCAGCCATCCAGTCATTTTTTACCCAACAAACAGTACACCTGTTCAAGCTATGAGCAGCCAGTTTTTCCAGGAGAATGCTGTGGGAGACAGTGTCAAAGCCCTTCACTTCTAGCTATGGATGTGCTACATTTTAATTTATATTTTTTTAATTAGTGGCAGGAAGAAAATGCAGTGTACCTTTTCTTGAACCATTGTAATAAATCTTGAAAGTATATAATTAGGTTTAGTGCTGCTTTGATAAAAGTCCAATGTTTCATGTACATACAAGGTGATGAGATATGACATAATTCTTCAACATGTGTACCACACATGATCAACATAAAGAACCCCATATTAATTCAGCCTGGTTTCAAAGCAATCCCATCTGTGGTTTCTATGTGTGAATACATCCATATGCAAGCTGAAGTAGAGAACCATGGAAGTGCCAGCTTTACTCTCAGATACAAGCAGACCATAAGTGAATAACTGCATGGCCCTCATTGTATAGGAGGTAGCTTCTACTTACACTTCCATCAAGCTCCCGGCTTCCCCCCTCCATTTCTTATTTCAGAACCTCAGAGGAATTCAGGCTCTTTTCAATTTAAGCATTCCAGACTGCAGGGCTCTGAAAAATGGAGCTAGCATTGCGCTCTGCTATCTAGGGCTGCTTTATCACAAGAATATTTTAGGACAGAGATTAAAACCCTGTGACTAACTGGGACACTGTTAAGTTTTTCCTACATGAATTGTTATATTATTTGTAAATGGCCCTTACTCTCAATTTTCTGCTTTTCCCACCATTTCATTGCCAGATTTACTCAAGTATAGTGATATTATATACATGTATATAACGAAATGTATTGGCAAAATATTTGGTCTCTGGACACGATGGAGTCCCACATCACAAAGTCCTGGCAGCTTGACCCCAGCAACTGCTCCCAGTGCTGTGTTCCATGGCAGATATAAGAAACTATACCAAAACGTTGTGTCTTTGTAGTTCTTATACCTTAAAGACATATAAGAAGTATAAGAAAGAGAATTCTTATATCTGCAGTAGCTATCACCTGCTTAGAGGTATTAAAAATATCCTCTGAATTGTAAAGCTGTACTTTATCTCAGCTTTTTGTATTTGAATCCATTTTTATATGCATATGTTTTATTGAAGAAAAAGTATATACACATAGTTAACAATATATTGGCAGAATATTTGTGGTAAAAATCATGATGTGTCTGAAGGGGAATCACAGGCAGGTCTCAATAAGCCATGGCCAAGAGTTTTCTGGCAGCAGGATGCCCTCAGGGCAGCTAGATGCCTGAGGCATCATCCCTGCATCCATCATTCCGGTGCCTCCCTGTGCCGCCCTCTCAGCATGACACTGCTGAGGCTCAGAGAGGTCATGTCCAGGCACCCGCAGGGCACTGACTTCAGGATTCTGCTGCTCTTGCTCTTGTGCGCCACAGGTGCAAGCAAACAAAGGTGTCAAAGCTTCCCACAGCTCATGGCACAACTCTTGGTCAATATGGTATTCCCAGTCTTTCTCCTTGGCCACAGTCCCTGGCTCACTGGGGACATGGGTTTCAAGCCACTCCAACACACTCTGCCTGCTCGTGATGGCTTCTATCCCCTCCAGGCCCATCAGCTCTAGCTGCCCAAGGTTGAGAAATGTGTTCACCTGGCAGATGAGAAAGGAGAGAGGAGTGTTTCCTGAGGTCTTCTTCAGTATGAGGAAGAACATCTATACATTGAAGGTGGCCGAGCACTGAAACAGGCTGCCCAGGGATGTCATGGAGTCTCTCTCTCTGGAAGCATTCCAAATCCACCTAGACACATTCCTGTATAACCTGCTCTAGATGTCCCTGTGTTGGCAGAGGGATTGGACTAGGCCATCTCCACAGGTCCCTTCCAACCCTAAGCATCTGTGATTCTTTCATTCATTCATATTTAGATATCCAGTAAATTAATGTCTGTACTGTAGGCATGATGGAAGGCTGTATGTTCACTCATATTTAAATGACCAGAGTGCAAGATGTTGAGGTCTTTCCAAATGTATTAAAACCTTTCCACCCTATGACCACTACAAACAGGTACTCTGTAAGTTGGTAGCAATCCCTGTGTGAGGTTCTGCCCTATTGCCAGGTTTTTCATGCTTTATACATACTGTGCACATCCTTGGTAGCTGTGATATCAGGATTTTCTCTAAGACATGAACATCAGCATTAAGTAGAATATGTAAAAACATTTGAAGTGGAAACTGAGAAATTACTGACATTTAAAACAGTGGGCAACATTATTCAATAAATAGACTGTATTAACTTAAATACGCTTAATTGCTGCAACCTCTTGGTTCTTTACATGTCTGCGCACCATGGGTGATTATTCGGAGCACTCTAAGTTGCGTTAGAGTTCAGGCTTCAGCTTTCCTGTCAGAATAGCCACAACAAAGAGCTGTTCCCAGTAAGAAGCCTGTCAAGGGCAGTCGACCATTTCTCGTTTTACGCGTTAGAAGGCAGGAGAACACACAAAACTCAACCTCTGCTGTTTTTCTTCACTGAGTCTGTTCCATCACTCCCATCGATTTTGTTGCGTGTCCTGCATGAAAACCATAACCTTATAGGAACATCCCCATCTACTCCCAGAAGAATTGCTGGGATGCTACTTCATCATTATTCTGCACGATCATTTTTCTCTATCATGATTTGGTGAAGGAGGAAATTCTTCATCTATTTCCTAACTAGAATCAAGAGGAGGCAGTACTATCAATAATTTTGATAGAGCTACTCCAATACGACCCAGATTAATCCTTTCTTTTCAAATGCTATTTCGCTCATTATGGTCTCTCTCTGAAGTGATCTCTTTTCAGTTTAAGCATGCTGGACTGCATGGGCTCTAGAAAGTGGAGCTGAGAGTGGATGAGAGCAGACACCCACGCTGTATCTGCACATATCTGTTCACATCATAGGTTGGAAATTATAGGCTAATTGGATGTTAGCAAGGAATGTTAACCCAAGTACAATAATGCAGTAAGTTCATTGTGCAACTTCCACACCAGGACTGCTTTATTCCCCCATGGGTAGATGGAGAACATGGTTATTTCCATGTTCACTCCTTGGCTATTCAGATTGAGATCATAATGAGGAAAATAGCATTTGAAAATGAAAGTTTTATCTGGTAGAAACTGGAGTATCTCCATCAAAGTCATTTATGGTACTGCCTCCTGTTAGTTATACTTAGGGAATAGATGAAGAATTTCAAATTTCAGGCTAGATTTTGGAAATTGTTTAGTAGCAGGATCTTAATGAAAGCCTTTGAGAGACAGATGAGTTTTAACAGGATTGCCTTACTACTAAGTGTGTCTGATTAACAATTTTTAAAAATCAAATTCTGAAATAAAAAAGCAGCATGGGTAGAAGAAAATCATATATCATCCTTGCAGGAAAACAGCAAGGTGACCCTGAAATTATTCTCTTATGATAATGAACAAGTATTGAGACATTCAGGAAACAAACAAAAAAAAATCAACACAAGGATACTCTCTAAAACACAAACCAAGATTTTTCCAATAAGGATAAAACCTGCCTGCAAAAATCAGGTCATGTTTTGCTAGAAGGACACTCACTGAATAATGCAGTGGATTAAATATTTTTTTATGTTGTCTACTCACTTTTTTCTAAATGTCATTGCTATAAGTCAGATTTGCATAATTTCCCCATTTTGTTTCTCTTTCATATTTCCTTCCATTTTTATTTTTCACTGGAAACCAC